CAGTGTAAAGGAAACATTAGTAGTAATAGAATTGAAGAATAAGCTAATACTAGCATAATACTAACAATACTGTTAATAGAGCAGATAATTGCTCTAGATTAGGACCCTGCTCTACCAATGGAAAGAGAGAAAAATTGCTCGACGACTTACTAACCATCTACCCTAATTCTTGATCTCCATGCTTTCTATCTAAGTCATGTCCTATGTAATCACCTCTCCAATTCTTCCTCAGTCTAGCTCTACCACTTCTCAAACTTATCACTGTCAACCTCTCTCACCTCCTCCTGGCTTAAGTGTACAGTCATGTTATTATTTCAGATTTCTTTTGCCTTAAACCAATAAGTCAATGCCCTTTGATGATTCACCTTTGTTGAGGTGGCCTACTGTACAAAAGAGTCTCAAGGAATTTCTTGGTTAACTGCTATGTTTTAAACTTTTTTTTGTGGCTAATATTTCCAAAAGTTGTTGGTGGGGAAAAGTTGCTTTGAAATTTAGTTTTTTCTGAGGAAGTTACTTTGAGTAGTTAAGTTTTTCCTTTTAGGGAAATTTCCTCTAAATGCTTGTGCGTTTGGTGATTTATTTAATCACATGCTATATTTTCAAAAAAAATTGTTTTATGATCCAACTTTTTTTTTTCTACCCTTCATTTTGCCAGTGTGCTCCTTTCTTTTATGATAACCTACAATTTGTTACTTAGTTCATCTGATATTATAATTTTCAGATATCTTTAGAATATTTTCAATAATGAGATATTCTTGATACTGTAGTATTTTCGAATGGAAGGGATTCTTCTTTTTCATCCTGTTTTTCTTCTATCCCCAGAACCTGCATCCTTCAAATTTTGTTTGCTAATTTTTTGAATCTGGTAACAGTTAAATTTGTTTGCTGATTTGTGCCTAATTGTTGTTCTTATGTCCTTGAAGGGGCTACTCTAGCATCAGGGGCAAGTTTTGGGACTCAATCTGTGAGTATACGTGTTCTCCTATATTGTCTCTTGTTTATGCCTTGACTAAAAGAAAAACACTTCTCACCTATCCTCAAGCATGGCATGAGGAAAATGGAAATCTAAGTGGAGTAGAGGAATAGTTTTATTTGGCTATGTTGGTGAATTTATATGCAGTTCTATTCAATGTTTTTGTAATGCTTAGCTTGTTTATTACCAGTTCTGTGTGAATCCAATCCTGAAAAATTACTTTGTTGAATGTTAGGATGCTTTTACAAAAGTTTTGTTGCTTTGAGCTTTCTATGTGATTTTTTTTTTTTTTAAGAATAACCATGGTTCACCAACTAGCAAGTTGATTTCTTATAAAAGAAAGAAAAACATACACAACAAATTGTTTGAATCTCTATAAACAATTTTTTAATTTGACAAGGACATCACAACTAAGAGTAGTGATGCAGTCATAATGGGCATAGACACATTTGGTACTGCCTCATGGTTGCTGAAATTGTTTTTACAAACCTCTGGTTCAAATTCTTTCATCATTTGTCTGGTATATGTTGCAGCAACACTTTGGCATTGATAGATTTTATATTCGTAATAGAAGGTTGTATCTTTCATAATATTTCATGAAAAGAAAGATGTATGTTTTTGTTTATCAATTTGTACCTACTTCATTATGGTATTATTTAATAAATCTTAACAAAGGTAGGTGCTTATGACTTTGTTCTAAAAATGCTCCTAATTCTGATGCCTATCTTTATTGTGTATCATTCTTTTTGGCAGAAGACTAGAGCAAAAAGTCGTACAGGCAGACGCTAGATAATGTGTTTGGTAATTCATACATCTAAGATTCTGAATGGATGGAAATCTCTATGCTACTGGTTACCTGTCACAGTAGCTTGGCAAGCTCAAGCATTGACAAATCATGAAATAATGCAGTTTATCTACCTCCAGTTTCATTATTGTGGACCGCTATTTCTGCAGAGATGTTAGTTCATAGGGATGTCGCGGCAATGCTATTTCATACTATTTTTCAATTAATTCTCCTGATCTAGTGTATCAAGCTTGATTTTGTACTCGAGTCTCTTCTAGATGATTTCAGTTTCCCTTTGTAGAAATGAAACTGGTTATATTTGTGATGCTTTGGATATTTGTATAAACACTTAATCGAGATCTCATTTGTTGTAGACGCAATCCCCCCCAATTATAAACCCTCTGCTTTTTTAATTTTTTCCCTTTTCAAATAAGAAAAGAATTTCAGGATACACGGAGAAGAAATATGGCAGCAGTTATATCTTGTTGACTGATAACTGCCACATGGTAAAATTAGTTTTCTGTCGTAAATGTATATGTAGAAAATAATGGTCGACGCCTAAAGGCTATAAAAAAGAGGGTGAAATTTTGTGTGATACCACTAGTTTATTTTAGGCTTCAGTTCAATGATTTGAGTTTAGAACACAATATAACAAACATATATTCTAGGAATCATTTTGGAGAAGAGATTGGTTGAATCTTGAGCTCCATGGCCTATCAAAGATTTCAGTGGGCAGTCATTCTGATTCAAACTAATGGAGGCTAGATCCTACTTCCACAGCCTCAGCATCCAGTATAAATTGATTTGCTTCTGACTGTGTTAAGTTTCCTAGTAATCTATGCAGCTCAGCTCTTATTTCATCATACTGTGGATGTGAATGATCACTAGAAGAGAACACATGAGTATTGTTCATAACTTCTAACCAGCTTAAACCAGGATCTTTTTCCAACATAAGTCCCCTTATTTTTCTCCTAATCTCTGAAACACTAGCCCATCTACCAGTTGAAGCAAATAAATTGGAAAGTAGTACATTTGTTGCACTGTCTTCTGCATCCATGCCCAAAACCTGTTTAGCAACACGTATTCCTATTATCCGGTTTCCTTTACTTACACAGGAGCTCAGTAAAATTCTCCATAGTTGAAGACATTCAACACCCAAGGGTGATTCCATTATAACATTCTCAGCCTCCTCCAGCAATCCAGCTCGACTCAACAACGTGATCATGCAAGAATAATGCTTCAGGCTTGGTTCTAAACCAGTTTCTTTCATGTAATTCCAGAAGTATAAACCATGGTTGACCAAACCACAGTGGCTACATGCTGCAAGCAGAGAGATAAATGTTACATGATCTGGTTTTAGGCCATGTTGTAAAATATCATTGAACATCTTGAATGCCTCCTCTGACTTCCCATGGTAACCATATGCACCAAGCATTGAGTTCCAGCATATTAGATTAGGCATGGTGACGCTGGAAAACACAAGCTCTGCAGCTGCAAGGTTTCCAATTTTAGCATACATATCAACCAGACTCCCGCAAACGGTCATCTCAGCACTATAGCCTGTTTTGGCAGCCAGGGAATGAATCATCTCACCCTGCCTCACAGTTGCCACTTCAGCACACACACTTAAGGCACTGGTAAGAGTAAATTCATCAGCCTTGTGGCCTTCCTGTAACATCCCATGGAACAATCTAATAGAGCTCTCAGCATTACCAATCCTACAATGTCCAGCAATCATCTCAGTCCAAAGGACAACATCCTTATCAAGGACATTAATGAAAACCTTTTGAGCAGATTCAACTTCCCCATTGCAAAAGTACATTGATATAAGTGTGCTTGCAACAAATACACTTGCACCGAGCCCCACCTTCTCAACTTGGCCATGAAGTGGTATCCCATACTCAGCTGCTGGCAATGTTCCTGCAGCAGAAATTGTAGCTGCAAATGTATATTCATCAGGGGTGAAGCGAGAAGATTGTCCAAATTGGATGAACATCCTCATTGCCATCTCTCCATCTCCATTTGTTGCGTACCCCGATATCATTGAATTCCAAGAAACCAAATCTGGCTTCTTCATTTTTCTGAAGATTTTCAAAGCTGTTTCACTATCACCACAACTAGAATACATGTCGAGCAGGGCATTATACAAGGGCAAATCAGGTACAGTCCCTGAAACAATCACTTTAGAGTGAGTCAATTTCCCAGAAAGATGGTCTCTTAACCTGCTACAAGCACTCAACAATGTCGTATAAGTGAAATTCGTAGGAACAACTCCGGTCCTCAACATGGTGCCAAACAGCTGAAGGCCTTCCACGGTCTTACCATTTTCCAAATACCCAAAGAATAGAGTATTCCAAGCCACAGAATCTTTATCATGCATGTAGCAAAACACTTTCTCTGCACAATCCAAGACTCCACAATTTAAGTACATCCCAAGAACAGAGGTTTGAACGCACACATCGTATAAAAATCCAAACTTTATACACTGGGAGTGAAACATAGAGCCTAATACCTGATTCTTGATACCCGAACACACATTTAAAAGGCTAGTAAAAGTTAATCCATTTGGTCTTATGCTCTCACTTTGCAATTGAGCAAACAAATGGAAAGCCCAATGGGCAAGGTGGTGGTATCGAGAATAGGCGGAAATGAGGGCGTTGAAAGAGACAATATTTTTCTCAGGCATTTTGTCGAACAGGATATGTGAGTCTTGGATAGACCCACATCGGGCGTACATGGAGAGAATGTTGTTGAATACATAAGGAGATCTGGAGGTGGCGGGTATGGAAGTGAGGATGAGGGCATGGAGCTGGCGTGCTTTGCTGATTAAGGTTATGGAGTTGCACTTATTGAGGAGAAGTGCTGCTATGGAAGAGGCCTCATTCAATGGTGGCATAAGTTGGTAGCTCTCGTCACTCCATTAAAGTCATGGATTACCAACTATTGAAATTTCAGTCAATATATTTTGGAGCAATAATAAGTGTTTAATCAAAATTTTAAAAATGTTTTAGAGCTTTTTTTGGCCAAGAAGCTAAAAAAAGACTTATTTTGATAAACAGTTTTGTTAAATAAAAAACACTTTTTAGAAAGAAAAAAAATTATGTTTAATTAGTTTAGTTGAGAAGTGTTTTTGAATATTTTAGATAAGCACATTATGTTTTTTTTTTAAAAATTGAGAGTTTAATAATTTTTTATTTTTTTAATTAATTAATTAAGAAGTACATACATACATACCACAAAAGAAAAGAGAAGCGAGTTCATTCTGAACTTAGAAATTATGGCGAAGGAACACTCACGTCTCTGTTCTCTAATTGACTGTTACCTCCGTCTTTATACTGTAAGCTCACTCAACCCTTTCGCCGCAACTGTTTCTTACTTTCCTGTCTATTTTTTTTCTTCTTCTCATTTTTACAGAAAATGGAACTCTACTCCTCTGCAGGAAACTGGATCTGCTTCGGTAACCAAAGAAACGGAGAAAGAACTTTTAATTGCTCTCTCACAGGTTGTTCCTTTTTTACCAATTCTGGGATTCTTGTTTTGAATTGAGGCAGACTTGATTGATTGAAAAGTCCCTACTTTTAGGTTTATACAGAAATTAAGCTGTGGATGAAGGAATATGAGTCCGATGACAGCTTTGTAAGAATCTTCCTCTGTGTATCTCTTCGTTGTGGAAATATGATTTTGCTTGGAATTATCTTAGGGTACATTGTTTGTTTGTGTGAATTTATAAGCAGGAGATGGAGGGAAACTCTGTTGGTGGAGGTCCAATAATCCCTGAGTCACATGCTGCTAATCATCATTGTTTAACTAATGTTATTGAGGTCTTGGTAGGTTTTTTCAATTCAAATACCCCATTATGATACATGATACATGGGTTCCAATTTTTCAGGTTCTAGTAAACTAAGATTTCATCTCATTTTGATCAGTTTCAAGTTCAGTTCCTCCCTCTTTCAATGGTGCATTTGTTGTTTTGTTTGAAATTACTTCTAATTCAACCTTACAACTGTCTTATGATTTCCTATCTGCAGATGGTCGTGGTTGCGATGGAGAATCCATATATGAATCACCTAATTGGCAATATCCTGGTGGCTGTTTCTGATTTTTTGGTTGAATCTGTACGTGATAAGACCGTGCTTCCGAAATCACTACATAGGCAGTTCTTTGTTTTGATATTTTGTGTTTCTTTACAAGTTCTATCTTGCAGGAAAGCTGTTGGGGTGAATATATCAATTTACTGTATCTTTGTGTGGAAGTTCCAATTTTTAATGGTCTTTCTTCTATGGGACATACGATGGAGGTCAAAAACTTGAGTGGGGATCCTTCACCTTCTTCTTTATTGAAGCTCAGCCTGAAAAGTGCAAGTTGGTCAACGGCAGCTGTTATCATGAGAGTTCTACACAATGTACTGAAACAGTTGAATCGGGATCTTATTGATCAGTTTTTCAACATTTTCTTGGAGGCTACCATTTATTTTATCTCAAATATGCCATGGAATTTGTTGTCGGAGGTTTACCATGTTCAAGGGGACTCCAATTCAGACCGCTTGCTTCAAATGCAAGAAGAAAAACCGAAGTCAATACTAATATTTCAGGGATATCTTCTTCGGTTACTCTGTTCGTTGGTTAAAAGTGGTTGGACAGATGCTGCTGTCATCGCTTCAGCAGAGCATCCATTTATTTTTGAAATAAAAAACCTGCTTCCTAGACTACTGTCATCATGCCTTAGTAATGGACTGCACTCTGATAATGTTGCGATTTGTCAATATCTTAAACATAAAATGTTGGTATGAATTTCTTCTCAACTTTTTCTCATTCATTAGCATCTGTGACCATTCCGTTCAATTCAAGTCCATTTCCTTCTAATAATAAACAATTTGTCTTTTGAGGCAAATCAGGGGGTTCTCTACACCTAGAGGTTCTCTAAATCTCACATCCACTTGCACTTTATTTAATATTAAGAGGGATTTACCCTTCTTTGATGTTGCATTCAGTCTAAAATGTTCCAATTAGCCCATTAGGTGGATATGATGAGGGGTTCCTGTTCTTTGCTTTTGCTCTAATAATCATTTCTTCCATTTATGCTCCTTATGTTATTTACAGTGGTGGGATAGGTATATTTAAAATTTTATTTGAAATATCATGCACCAATGTGATCATTAACTGAGTTGAGTTTGTGGTTGCACTAACTGTCCATTTTACAGATACTCATGATTCGACTTAGTAACCAAATCCATTGGGAGCACTCAATTGTAATTTCGTGGTTGGATCTTATCCACACATACTTTCAAGATGTATTATCCCAACCTATGGAGGGGCAGGAGTTTGTTCTAGATAAATATCTCGAAGGTTCGCCATTTGGGGTAATGACATTTGATATGGGGAAAAAATGGATTTCATCAAAGCATTTACAACGGCTGTCTATTTTCCTTTTCCTCAAATGTTCCTCTAGTTTGCTGAGCATGAAAGAAATGACTGATCAACATTATGCATGTAAAAATCTTAAGTCTTGCTCAAGCTTTGACATGAATCCCAAGTGTTGCAGTCGAAGGAAAGCTTTGCTAGAGCTCCATGAGTGGCTCAGAGAGCTTCTCCCTGGCGATTGTTTTATTGACCATGACATGTACTCCGAGAAACGCATGGACTTTGTCTCATCCTTCTTGCAGCTATATATGCAAGAGGTTTGTCCTCTTGCTCGCAATGACATGTTTTGCTTTTACTTGTTCATTTGTTTCAGGATCTCTATATAAAAAGTTTGAATTGACTTTTATAAATCCATGATTATATCTGATTTTCAAGGTTTGATAAGTTTTAGAACTGTCGTTATTAGATTAGCTGGACAATACTTTGTATATGCAGTTGGTTTAGTACTCTGCATCTCTTTGGACTTCCAATGATTAAGAATTGCCTATATTTGGCTTCCAAGCTTTATCTATTAAATTGTTATTATTTTTCAACAACAAAACAGAAGATTGAGAATTGCCTATTTCTTACAAAATGGTTTCTGGCTTGCTTCTAGGTTTTAGTATACCTCCTACTATGGCATGGTGTCCATGACATAGAGCTCTGCTAAAACTTCGTATTTGGTTGATTTGATTCCTGTCCTTGTATGTTAAAGTACCCGAGGATATCTTACTATATGTTTACTGGTCCAGCTGTCTTCACTTTTCTGACTTTCTTTTACTACTGTTAAATTGTAGGACGATATTCTATTTGAAATGCTCTTGCAAATGTTATGCTTGCCATTTTACTCTGAAAAGTGAGTTGAATGTATATTTGCTAATTTTAGAGATGATGTGAAGTTGTATATGGCGGTTGTTTTAGTGCATCATGTTGTATGTAGGTTTACTAATGAAGTGGCTTTATCAGATGATGAAGTGAGAGAGTTTTCTCTGATCTCACACCTTTTTCACCCAATACATTTCTTTCACCTATTCTTGGCTGGAGTAAGTACAAAACATTCCCTTGTGCATTTCTTTGTTTTATTTCCCTCTGATGTCAAGATCGAAATACTAAATAATTACCCATGCTGAGTAGTTTTGCTATGTTACTGTCCTCACAGATACACTATGATCATCAAGTTCTTCTTGATTATCTTATCTCAAAAGATACAGGGGCTAGTTCTGCTGAATATCTTTTGAGGTACGTATAAGTTATAACTTTGCATTTTATTTTCTTCTATAGTATTTGGACATGGATATAAGATCTATAAGTATCAATATGTATACTAAGTATGGTGTTTTGACAGGCTCAACCTTTATATGAATAAAGCATACTAGTTCCAAATTTGCAAACCATCTTTTTCTCCCAATATTTAAGTGTAATCCAAATTCGCAAACCATCTTACTCCATGTAAGAAGTTCCAGCTGTACCATGTAGCATATTCAGAATTACAAGAGTTGTAAGCTCTTCGTAAAACACTACTCCCTCTGTGTTTGACAAAGCACTAAATTTAAGAAAGAAAGACTTTTGAAACACGTGCTCTAGAACAAGTCGTAACCATTTGTGTGGTTGCAATTTGTAAATCATCTCATTAAGGGTAAAGTGAGAATTTTAAAGTTAAATGGTTTCTAAACATAGAAATGTGTCATTCTTGGGATAGACTAAACGGAAAGTGTGCCACGTAAATTGGGATAGAGGATGTATCTTTTTGATCCTAAAAAAGTTCCACAAAACCTCTTATGAATTAACTTGTCTTTTTTTAATATATTCCTAAAAAACAAAAAATGTGGCCACGTGTTCTTCCATTTGCATTAAACATTGTGTATTCATTTCTCTGATAATTGCTCCAAATTTGAATAAAAAATTCAATTTCAGAGAAAGGGGACAACATTAGCCCTTCTTAAACAAAATATGTTGACTTTATCCATGTCTGATGTTGCAATTAAATTTGTACCTGCATCCTCATAGGTGTCTGCGTAAGGTATGTGATTCGTGGAACATATTTATCGAATTTTCATGGAGCGGAAAATGTCGAAGCAGTAAAAGAAAAAAGTTTTCAACAGATGATCATAACTCTATGGGAGAGATAACGCTTGTGTCGAGTTGTGTTAGTGGAGATATTTTACCACCTGACACCAAACGCAAGAAAGCGTACGGATGTCACAATGAGGACTATGTAACTCAGATGTCACCGTTTGAATGTGCAAGGAACTGCCTTTTTCAACTTAAAGCATCTATTGAAGGCCTTCACCAAAAGAACCTGTTTCCTTATAATCCACTAGTGCTACTACGTCGGTATGTATGTTTGACACATTTGGGGTTTTCATTAGTTTCTGTTGTATTCTGGAAATTGCATCAGACTCTGGAATTCCATAATATATTTATTATTTCTATGTCATCTTTCCTAATAATAGGAGTTCTTATAATAAGCTGTAAGTTGCTTAAAATAAGCGAAGTGTTTGTTTGATGTTTAGATTGGGTTCATTGGATGTTCTTCTTCAGAGTTGGGTTAAGCAATTCTTACTTTGATAATTAAGTTTGTATTTGCAATCATTTCAAAACTATTTTGCTAGAATCATGCATGCATTTCAAGAACATTCATACGATGTTCAGTTAGTAGTATCAAGTTGTAGGACGGAAACAGGAGTGCAAGTGCATTGTACTCATAATGGCTTGTCATCAAAATTCAAAAGATAACTTAGATCATTAATGATGTCGGGTTTTGAAATATCTGAGGTGAATGTGCTGTAGAATGCAAGTGGATGGTGTGTTTTTTCCCCTCTTTTTATGGGTCAAAATTCAGTGAACACATTTTTATTCTTCAAGCTACTATTTATGTTAGTTTGCTGGTTGGCGTTTTGTTCTAATTTTGCAGAGAATCTATCAGCGAGTTCTTAATAAGGAGGCATTTGTTTGAAATTTTTCAAAAAGCAGAGTTTGCGAAAGAATATTTAGTTTTCGCAAACTCTGTTTTTTGAGTTGTTTTTGTGAAAGAACTCTGAGTTTCTGTAAACTCTAAACTTTGAGGCAGGAAGTTGCGTTGCCATCCTTCAATTTAAGCCAGTTTTTCAAGGATAACTGTCTCATTCATCATGTTCGTGTTTGTTTGCTGTTCATTGTTCATGCTTTTTCTGAAGTTTGAACACATTTTTGTTACTGATGTAATGATCTTGATAGCTTAAGAATTTGTTGCTCATATATTGGTTGTTGGTTAAAGGTAAATATAATTTTTTTCTATTTGGGGACTTGGGACAAAGTCTTGGTGCAATAGTAAAGTTGCTCCTTTGGTGACCCAAGGGTCAAGGTTCAAGGTGTGGGAACAGCCTCTATGCATAAATGCAAGGGGAATGCTGTGACCAGTAAGCCCATTCTCCCCACAGTGTCACTAGCCAGACATTACTTCGGGGGGCTAAGCCTTTTCGGGAAAGGAGGGATGGGGAGGCCACTGTTGCTACCAGAAATTATCTAATACTCTTCATTGCAGTTTGACGCGATTTCAGGAGCTCTGTGGAGATGACGGACCATAAAAGCTCGCTCGCTGTTGACCTATCACCTTGAAATCCATGTTCGATCGTACTCCACATGCCAAGTTGACATCGGCTAGTTGAAAATGACTGCAACTTCAAAGGGACGATATCTCTGGACTCATTAGAGCAAAATATGGCTTGGATGTGAATCCAGTACTAGCATTCTTGACTGCTACTTTTGAGGCGAGTTTTCTGACTTTGACTATGGATATGTGTAACACATTTCTGGACTGAAAGGATGAATGTTCTTAGATGTCGACAGGTGTTTTTTTACAATTTCTCATCAAGTGTCTCCAGGGAAGCCAAGGGGTCAAAGGTTTTAGAGTTAGCAGAATCTGCAAAGCAGTTAGTGGCTAATCTCCATTTAGCTGTTAATTACTGTTAGGAGGTGGTTATGTGTACGTTAGAAGTTAGTTAGAATATACGTGCTAAAGCTAACCGCTGGCAGCTAGCATCAACCTCTATAAGAGGATTTAAGGATTGATTTGATTTCAATTTTTGGAATCTGAGATATTTTCTGCTCTTGTGAGAATGTAGACATTTTCCAGATTTCATCTTTGTGTTTGGATGTATATGAAATCGATAGAGTAGGTTGCAGAAAATTAACCCTACATGACATTGACAGGATTGGTGATATTAATCCTACATGACTTAAAGCCTACGTAGTACAATTTGTTAAACAGAAAGGAAACGACAAAGCAAAAGTTGTTACAATTGAAAAGTAGTACGTAGTACGTACTACAACAACCCTAAACTTCAAGGTGCATGCAGGGAACACAACGGTGCTAGCAGTTCTTCTTGACTTCCAGAGAGCTTCTCGGCAGTTTCCATAAAAAGGAATTAATTGTTGACGGGATGATAGTAGGGATCAAATATGGACGGGTCGGTTGGAATAGGTTAAACAAAAATGGATAAAATATTCGATCCGCCTATAGTTAACACAGATAATAAATGGATTAAGAGACGGATAATGTGGTGTTTTCATAAATAAACGAACACAAGCTAAAAAACAGAATAAACTTAAAACTCTCAGAAAGCAAGAAATCATGTAAAATAACAAGCAACAAATATGTATTTTGATAATATGGATATCCATTTTCAAAAAGTCAAGATATGTAATGGGTCGTTACTTGTATTCTCAAATTATTTTGTCAGCCGTAAATGATGGTACTAGTTTGTTTTTCCAACTTCGGAAAAACAGTACCCAACAGGGCCCAGAGGTTGGGCGTGATAAATGGATGATGCAGTAGATATATAACCATAACCACTAGATAATATAAGGCAATTAGTACATACTGACAATGGATTATGTAGTCATTGTAGGTGGATTACTACTTGCCTGGACTTTGCTTCAATGGGTAGCAATAAGCAAGAGAGGTAACAAAAAACTTCCACCAGGGCCAATTCCCCTTCCATTGATTGGAAATTTGCATAATATTCTTGGCGATCAACCTCACAAGTCACTTGCCAGGCTTGCCCAAAAATATGGCCCAATGATGGGCCTCAGGATGGGGCAAATAACGACAGTGGTAATATCTTCATCAGCCGTGGCAAAACAAGTCTTACAAAAACAAGATTTGTCCTTCTCCAGCAGAACAATTCCAGATGCAATCCGTACCAATAATCACCATCACCTCTCTGTGGTGTTTCTACCTGTTTGCTCTCTATGGAGAAGTATGAGGAAAATCTTGAATTCTAATCTCTTCTCTGGCAACAAGCTTGACGCAACTCAGCATCTCAGGTAAAGGTCGGATAGGTTAGTCAAATAACGGGTCATAACATAATCCGACCAAAATGACATAACCTGCCATGCTTTTTTATCTTACTTTATAGAGAAAAAATGCATTTTTTCCTATATTAGAAGCTTAAAATCTCCCAAATTATATATCCTATAGTCTCCAAATTTGATTTTATATGTTTGAGTTGGTGTTGCAACCCTTGGTAACCAGAGATGGATCTAAAATTTAAAATATACGGATTCCTACAGAATAATCAAGTTAATATATAATGATAATTGAGTTCCAATATTTGGTAGACTTCTTAATGCATTTACAAAGCCTGAACAAACATTGTTGGGTTCATGTAAAGTGGTAACTCCTCGAGTCAAAGGCAACAAACATGTGATTACTAGTAGCAAAAATTGATTTTGTCACTTGCAATGTATGTCGATCAGGTCCCAAAAGATGCAAGATTTTATTGCTTATTGCGGCAAGTGTAGCCAAACTGGCGAGTCAGTGAATATAGGCCAAGCTGCTTTCGAGACCATGCTTAATTTACTTTCCAATACCATTTTTTCCAAGGATGTAGTGGACCCTTATGCAAATTCAGGTAAAGAATTTAAGGATATAGTCTGGGACGTTATGGAAGAATGTGGTAAGCCCAATTTCGCCAATTATTTCCCCCTCTTGAAAAGGATTGATCCTCAAGGGATAAGGCGACGCATAGGCAAGCATTCTGATAAATTGCTACAGCTGATTGGGGGATTGATTGATGAACGATTGGAGCAAAGGAGGCAGTTGCCAAATGGCGGTAGAACAGATTTTCTTGAAGTTATGTTAAATACTAGCGAGGAAGATCCGCAGGCATTCGACAGAAATCATATAGAACACTTGTGCCTGGTAATTTTGAACTTTTTATTTGCACAGCCGGATAGACCTTTTGACCAATTATTTTCCACCAGTGCTCTGTTATGCTTCATTACAATTTACATACTTGCTTCCTTATTGCATCCCTGAGAATTATTAATTATATTGCAGGACCTTTTCATTGCGGGAACGGATACAACTTCAAGTACATTAGAATGGGCAATGGTAGAAGTTATGAGAAAACCATACATAATGAATAAAGCTAAAAGCGAGTTTGCAGATGTTATTGGCAAAGGAAAGATAATCGAAGAAGGCGATATTGGTCGTCTCCCTTATTTGCAGTGCATAGTGAAAGAAACCTTGCGGATGCACCCTCCAGTACCCTTTTTGATTCGCAAGGTCGATCAGGAAGTCGAGGCGTGTGGCTATTTTGTCCCGAAAAACTCCCAGGTGTTAGTGAACGTATGGTCAATAGGTCGTGATCCAGCTACATGGGAGGATCCTCTGACATTTAAGCCTGAGAGATTTTGGGATTTGAAAATGGATGTTCGTGGCCAAGATTTTGAACTCATTCCATTTGGTGCTGGTAGAAGAATTTGCCCGGGATTAACTTTGGCGACAGCGAAACTATGTACAATGTTGGGTTCGTTGTTGAATTCATTTGATTGGAAAGCTGAAGGCGATATTGCAGCACAAGATTTGGATGTAGAAGAAAAGTTTGGTCTTACACTAGCGAGAGCACGTCCTTTACGAGCTATACCTATTTCGCTTTAAACGTTGGCATGTAATAATGTTATTATTGTGAAGACATGAGTTAGTTTAGAATTTTTTTCCCCTCCAAATGTTGTTATTGTTGGATTCTTCTCTCTTTTAAATAAGGGTACTATTGTCTTTTGTATTTGTATACTCTTTTTTGGAGTAATTTTGAATGATTGACAGGAGTAATACATTATTATGGTATTTAGAAGTCTAAAGATCTTCCCATAATATATGTAGTTAGTGAATTTAGATTGAAGAAGCGTTTGATTTCTCCCAATCTTCCGAGTAGGAGTGTTCACGATTTGGATAAAAATCGATCTAAATAAAAAAATAGAATCAAATCGATTTTATTTAGGTTTGGTTTAGTTTGAATTTAGATTTTTAAAAATCAATAGTATTTGGTTTGTTTATGATTTTGTTCGGAAAAAAACAAAGAAACAACCGAACCAAACCGACAAATTATATACATCAAACTTATTATTATAGTACATACATAATATATTATTTTTATAAACAATTTTAAAGATCTTCTATATATTTTCATCAAAATGTATTTATAATTTATTTATGAAAGCAAAAATGCCCTAGGTGAGAGCATTATCTTGCTGATTTCATCATTTTCATGTATATGAGTGTCTGACAATTCTTTGTGAGATTGAAAATGTCATTGTCTCTTTCTTCTAGGAGAAAATAGAGAATTTTGAAGCTTTATTCATAGTAAATTAAGTGATCGAAACATATGTAATGTCAGTTATTTATTTGAATGGATTTTTGTCACTTTTTTACTTTTGAATGAATTGTTTCTTTTATTTTTATTTTTATGTATGGTTAATAACCGAACTAAATCAAATCGATAAATATATATTATATTTTGATTTGGTTTGATTTAGATAATTTAAAATCAATTAAATTAGTTTAGTTTTAATTTTGACCAATAACCTACTCAAACCGACCCATTAACAACCCCTACTTCCAAGGCTCATTTGTTGAGGTAACTCACCTTCCATGTAGATGGGTTTGGATCTCTATCATTTTCACGTTTCTTCTTTTCTCTTGCTATGCTAATCATTAAATAAAGTACCTAATTTGAAAATTATGGAACAAAATAAATCTTAAAAAGGAAGGTGGTTGAAGTGAAGTGAGAGAGATTGAACATGTGTGAATACATATTCTTATTCCCAGTGAGGCGTGAATCGTCATATTTTTGCATTAAATGGACTCACGTGAGGTATGGAGTTTCTGGGGTGTTTCCTCTTTTTTTTCTTTTGTTTCATACCCACAGTCCACAGAGAACGTGGGTCAATGGTAAAAGTAGACATAAACTCCTTTTCATTTACAAAAATCCCTTAAAAAATCAACATTTCGAATACATAAATTTTATCCGGATACACTATAAACTTGTCTGTTGCGCTAAATATGGAATACTAATGTAAAACTGATTTTCTTTCCCAAAATAACGCAAAACTGATTTTCTATTCCCACAAATCACGCAGTGCTGATTTTCTTTTCCCACAAATCACACAGATTGATTGATATCAATCTATTCCAATCTGTAACAACTTCACAAAATTTAAAAATCAAAATTTCATCTTCTCCATAAATTCAAAATCTTGAATCTCAAATCCGCCGTTGTAGATGATTGGACAAACGATTCACGATTTCGAATCATCAATTTGAAATCGTTGAGTAATTTGAATTCAATGTATCACACAAATCTGATTGGACAACCTTGGCTGCTGCTAACATTGCTAACAAGATCCATCTGTCAACTAGCAAGTTTCTATTCCCTTTTTCATCTTTCGTTTATTAAAATTTAATTTGATTTCTTAAAAGTTAATTCATTTCTTGTTCAGAGAAAATTAATGAATCTGAGAAGTTGCTAACATTGCTAACAACACATTTTCTCAAGTGCAGTTGTAGATGCCGATATATGCTTCATAAATTCCAATTTAGAAAACAAAATCAGTTTTATATATATCCACCCTTTTGAGCATTATATGTCATTATTTGGGATTACAAGTGATGAATAAAACGCTCCACAACATCCTTAGAATCATTACACCTTAGAAACTGAAAAGGAGGGCTTATGATTTATTGTCAAATGAAGCAGTAACAATTCAGCCTATTTAATAAAAAATAAGACGTACCATCAATCAGAGCCTTTCTAAATTGGGGTTGTTGTTGATCAAGTGAAGCGCATATGCAGCGTGTTGAATCATATTGTAGTTAATAAACTTCAAGTTTAATTGCTTGATGTTGTGCAGACTGTAGTGTTACCTGAAGCTTTGGTATTGCAAGGACTAAAACAAAGCAATAGTCATTACCTTTGGACATTTTTCTTCGACAGAAACATAATCTAGTGATCAATATCAGAAAAAAGCTCAGAGTCATTGTTTTGTTTGTCGTTTTGATGTGAATATGTAAGTCATGATACATTAATGGTAAACGATGGGCGTGTATTGTAGTTTTGAATCTATGAATTATGATGTGGTCATTATTTTGTATCTGGATGGGATTTGTATAAAAATGTATCATCATAATATATTGTATATGATACATGTAATAAATGGATTAACAATTGAGATGGATCAAATACGTTTTGAATATCGAGTGTGTATCACAAATTCGTATAAATGTATCAGAGTTCAGACTATTATTATGTATATTGTACATATAAATAGTGTAACAATCAAGATATGTAAATTACTTGTTTTGATCGAGAAACAAGTGTGGATGATACATAAATATATATCCATCTTGGATTTTGTTGAATGGTTGTATCATTGGTTATTGTAATGTATCTGGTACGTGTTATAAGATGGCTACAAAATTGTGTCGCTATGTGTTAGTTTGATGCTGGAAGAAAATACATTGTTTAGCTTAAGCGAAAAATATGTAATTGTGGTAGATTTCAACTAGACGAGATACCTTGTGGACGTTGTGGAAAAAAGGATACATTACTCATGATACATTACCATTCCTAAATATTTAGTAAATTGCTAAGTATTGTAATCCTATCAGATACATTAGAGAAGTAAAGATTTTTAGATCGATACATTACTGTGTGGTTGTTATTAAGTATCATATACATGTAGTTCTAGTTTGACCAAAGAATGAATATGTATCATATACCTATTGTTGGATCTGATACATAGTGCTCCAGTTATAGAACATTATGATTTATGTATCAAGATTATTATTGGGTAAAATGTATATATACATCGCATTCTAAGTTGGGTAAGACTGAACAAATAGTAAAGAGTGCAGTACATAACACACAATTGATTTGTTACTGGCTAATAGCCTTTTAAATTTGACTAAGATTGATGATACATTAAAGAACTTGATACATGTAGATGATACACTAGGTAGTGTTTATGTATCAACAACATTTATATTGAATATGATAAAATTAATCGAATATTCAACAACATTAGGGTTATGTATCAACACCTTAAATATGAATATGATACATTGCATAAAACAAAAGTTATTGTAACAGTGATGTATCAGATCAGTGATGGCACTAAAAAAAGGCTAATTTAAGAATCAAAATAAACAAGATACATTGAAAATCAACGAAGGCATTATACATTAGTTTAAGAAACAAAATCAACTAGATACATTAAAATCTGAACTCATATGTATTATAAAGGATGAACAACAAAAATTCGAAAAAAAATCAACAATTGATCTGTTGAAAGCAAAAAAAATGACGAAGAAATCCCCCTACACTTTTATCTTTGCTCTATATCAAAACTTATGTATCTTTTTTCACTGTCAACAATGGAAAGTGATTTCACCAGCGAAAGAGGATCCTTGGAAACGATTTTGTTGCAAGGAGCAATGGGGATACATCATCTCTTTCACCTTTCCCTTATACATTTTGTGAATGTGGAAAGGGAGGAGACCCGGTAGTTCTTTAGAAAAAATTGTGGAGTGAAAATTTACTTGGGTTCTTGGAAAAAGTTATGGAGCGATCTTATGGAGAGAGAACAAATCTGAAAATTAAAAAATGAAGGAAGTAAAGATTGAGGGAGTGAAATAGGGAGAGATTAAGGGAGTGAAATTAGGAAGAGAAACGTGTGTTTTGAATGTTGAAACTTTATGTATCTGGAACAGTGGAGTTTGGGAAGAAAAGGAGGGATTTTGGAGATATTTTAAAATGATAGGGAATAATGGAAATTATGAAAACTAAAGGTGTGTATTTAAGTAATTTATCCATATTTATTTACTTTATGAAATTAATAGATAATTCTTTATTTAGTTTTTAATTTGTTCTTATAATTAATTTTAGTCATTTTTTTGTAGAGTTTTCGACCAAAATCATTCTTAAACTATACCCCAAACTTAAACTACATTCTTAAAGTATCTTTCTTAGCAGAAAACATCCTTAAACTCTTTAAAAGTAAACAATTTTCATCCTTCTACTTGAATTTATCAGAAAACTAATAGATCCCACAAAAATCAACTCATCCCTTCATAATTATTATTCTTAGATACGCCAAAAATACTATTGTGAACTTTTTCGGTAATTGAGTTTTGCATTATGCAAAAAAATTAATTTGACGTTTTTTTCATTTATTTTTCATGTAATTTGATATTAAAAATATTATTAGTTGAAATATGTTTCTTCTCAATTAAATATGCTAGAAGCAACGTTTGTTGGAGACTTTTGCTTCCAATAATGTAGAATGAAACTCAAATGCGAGACATAATCAATATTTTGATCACTTCAATATCAGATTGACCCAAAAAAATATTGATCTAAATACAGTTTGACCCAAAAAATTATTGATCTAAATACAGTTTGACTTTGAAAAAAGTAAAGATAATTAAGCTCCAACTTCTTTCCATTACTAAATGAGAAAAAGAGCAGATCATGTATTAACCTCACATGACGTTCTAAACATTTTTTGTTTCAATAAGCAATGGTGTCTAAGATTTCTAATATTTTTTTCAGAAACTTCTTATAGTAGGTAATGAAATTACGAAGAAAACTTTTGTTGATAGTCACGTGAACTGCTCATATTTTTGTAGGATCCCTTAGTTTTTTGACGATATCTTACATAAGGATGAATATTGTTAACTTTCAAATACTTAGAGGATGTTTTTTTGCCAAAAAATATATTTTAAGGATGTAACTTAAGTTTGGGGTATAGTTTAAGGATGTTTTTGGTCAAAAACTCTATTTTTCTATTACATTTTTTAAAACATTGTTTATTCAAAGGGTGATAATTGATATAGTAAAATTACACTTTTATTTATAGTTTCTTAAAAAATGTACAAAAACAATAATAGATAATCGCTGGACAAAAGAAAGTATAAAAGTATAGGGTAATTTTAAAATTATTAAAAATTTCCAAATATTTTCTAAATATTAGATTTGAAAACTTAAGATGTTTACCAAATATATTTATTAAGTAATAACAAATTGTATGACCGAATTATTAATCAGTCATCGTCAGCCGAAGACAGAGATATTGTTAAGAACTGCTTAGTGGGAGTATCTTTTTACCCGAATTATTAATCGGTCATCGTCAGCCGAAGACAGAGATGCATTCATTAAATAGATATTGAATTGTAAATCTTATCTCATCTGTGACACACTCTTTTTTTCCCTCCTTTTTTATAGTTAACTCAAATAGAATGATAATTTTTTATATTTAGTAATAGTTTAATTTTTAAATGATTATTTTATTTAAATTTATGATCATATAAAGTTTTATAACTTATTTTATATCATAACTTTCAAAAATCTTTCTTTATCAAATCAAGCAACATTTGAAACTGTGTTAGTAAATATTTTCCCAACGGATTTACTACATTAAAATTAAGGGAAGCAGTGACTTTATAATAATGAAGGCAGAAAGCAAGACCAAGTGAGCAGTAACTAATGCAATAGCTTGTTCAGCGAAGAAACCGGCCAATGGATTTTGTAGTGATTGTAGGTGGATTGCTACTAGCCTGGACTTTGGTTCAGTGTATTTGTAAGCTAGTGATATGCAAAAGATGTAACAAGAAACTTCCAGCAGGACCAAAACCACTGCCCTTGATTGGAAATCTTCACAACATACTTGGTGGTCAACCACACCAACCCCTTACGAAACTTGCTGAAAAGTATGGCCCTATAATCAGCCTCAGGTTGGGCCAAATGACGACAGTGGTTATATCTTCACCAGTCATTGCTAAACAAGTCTTACAAAAGCAAGATTTGGCCTTTTCTAGTAGACCACATCCAGATGCAATTTGTGCCCTAAATCACTACCAATTCTCTGTCGTATGGCTACCAGTCGCTGATCAATGGAAAAGCCTAAGGAAAATATTGAATTCCTGTATCAATATTTGACGCAAATCAACATCTCAGGTAGCAGTAGCGTGCCAAATGGGTTACTTTACTCAAATTTGATCTGACCAAAGTTAGCTTGGGTCAAAGTCATATAATTTTCAATATCCAAATCTGATTTTATATGTTTCAGTTTGACCCATACAGTTATTCTATTGTGTGATGAGTTACATACTGAATGAGTAACTAACTCTTTTTAGGTCCGGAAAGATCCGAGATTTGATTGCTTATTGCCGTAGATGTAGTGAAACTGGTGAGGCAGTGAATATAGGCCAAGCTGCTTTCGAGACTTCCATGAATTTACTTTCCAATACCATTTTTTCCAAGGATGTTGTGGACCTTTATGCAAATTCAGGTAAAGAATTCAAGGATGTGGTGTGGAACATCTCGGTAGAAGCTGGTAAGCCCAATTTGGCTGATTTTTTTTCCGTGTTTAAAACGATTGATCCCCAAGGAATAAGGCGAAGAATAGGAAAGCATGCTTCAACAGATTCAGGGACTGATTGATGAACGATTGGAGGCAAGGAGGAAATCGGCAACTATTGGTAGCACTGACGTTCTTGACATTCTGATAAATACCAGCAAAGAAGATCCTCAGGCAATCGACAGAAATCACATAGAACGGTTATGCCTGGTACTTTCAACTTCTTCCTTTAGGTTATGCATTCGACTTTTGTTAATTACAGTGTGTGTGTATGTTACTGGATTTAATTTATCCTTCCTCTTTGGCCAAATTGTAGATGTATTCATCATATATTGTGTAACAGATATTAGGGGAAGATCTATTGTCGCATGCCCTGCACATTGTTCTATTTATGTTAAAAAGTATACACATTATTTACTGCCTAAGAATCCATTACATATAAGAGATAGCTAATTTATAAAGAAAATAGTTACTATAATAGTTACATAATGATGTAAGTACTATCACATTGTAAGTAGAGATTTCCAATTTATCAATTTTTGGCATCCCTTAGATTTAGTTATATATATTGCACGACCTTTTCATTGCGGGAACGGATACAACTTCAAATACATTTGAATGGGCAATGGTAGAGGTCATGAGAAAGCCATACATAATGAGAAAAGCTAAAGCTGAACTTGCTGAAGTTATTGGGCAAGGCAAGGCAATAGAAGAAGCCAGCGTTGCCCAACTCCCTTATTTGCAGTGCATAGTGAAAGAAACCTTGCGGTTGCACCCACCAGTACCCATTTTGCTTCGCAAGGTAGATCAAGATGTTGAGACGTGTGGTTATTTTGTTCCGAAAGACTCTCAAGTGTTAGTGCACGTATTGTCAATAGGCCGTGACCCAGCTAACTGGGATGATCCTTTGACATTTAAGCCAGAGAGATTTTGGGATTCAAAAATGGATGTTCGTGGTCAAGATTTTGAAATCATTCCATTTGGTGGTGGTAGAAGAATTTGTCCAGGGATACCTTTGGCAATGAGGACAATTTCCATTATGCTGGGTTCATTGTTGAATTCATTTGATTGGAAAGCTGAAGGCGATATTGCACCAGAAGATTTAGATGTAGAAGAGAAGTTTGGGGTTTCACTAGCCAGATTGCGTCCTTTGCTAGCTGTTCCTATTCCTCTTTAAACGTAGCGAATAATTTAGATTTGTCTGCTTTCTCTACAGACATTTCCGATCTCAACTATGTAATTCTCTTCCTCTTTCTATAATCAGTTTGACATAATAAAGTACTCCCTATATATCCGATTACGCTTGAGCATAAATATTGTCACTTTTATATGCGAAATCTTCAATTTCTGGATGCCTGAGAAACTGCAACGAGTTAATTAACATGACATGATTTGTTTTTTCTCCCGCAACCTAAAGAAACAAAATTCTATAGTATTTTGATATTAAAAATAATCTGTCAAGTACATAGACCACTCCTCCATAATAAACAAATGAAAACCTCCGGAGAAGAAACCCACGAACAGTATTTATAAATAGAGAAAAAAAAACATACTTTTTGATGTGGAGATTCTGTCTTAACCTCTTTGGCTATCATTTCTACTCTACTTTTTCTCACTCTGTTCTTGGCAACAACACCGTCATCAACTTCAGAACCTAAGATTAACATCTTTGATGATTATTTCACTAGCCCATCTTGATAATTTGCAAGAAAAAGTCCACATTCATGAAAAAGATTTAATGAGTGATTCCTCTTTATTTTATTTTTTGCTAAACAAGAGAAACAGGTTCACGCGATTCCTCTATAAAGTGACTGCCAAATTAATCACACAAGACGGATTCAATTAGCTTAAACCGAGCTTGCAGATGTTATTGGCAAAGGCATGATAATCGAGGAAGCCGATGTTGCCCGTCTCCCTTATTTGCAGTGCATAGTGAAAGAAACCTTGCGAATGCACCCACCAGTTCCCCTTCTGATCCGAAAGGTAGATCAAGACGTTGAGGCGTGTGGCTATTTTATTCCAAGAGACTCTCGAGTGTTAGTGCACATATGGCCAATAGGCCGTGATCCAGCTATATGGGAGGATCCTCTGGCATTTAAGCCTGAGAGATTTTGGGGTTCGAAAATGGACGTTCGTGGCCGAGATTTTGAACTCATTCCATTTGGTGCTGGTAGAAGAATTTGTCCAGGGTTACCTTTGGCATCCAGGACCCTTTCTGTGATGTTGGGTTCATTGTTGAATTCATTTGATTGGAAAGCTGAAGGCAATATTGTACCAGAAGATTTGGATGTAGAAGAAAAGTTTGGTATTACACTGGCGAGATCACGTCCTTTGCTAGCTGTTCCTATTCCACTTTAAACGTCGGCTCCAAATTGAGCAAGTAATAATGTTATTATTGAATAAGTCAACATGACAATTGACACAGGTTACATAATTATAATCAGCGAATAATTCAGATTGTCTGCTTTCTCTACCTATCTTTGGAGATGAGATCGGGGTATAGTTCACTTGTTTCACCGTTTTCTAGGTAGGTGGCGCTAGATCCATAACAGGCCCCGGCCCATCAAGTTTTGAATTTGCAAACAAAATTAATCTTGATTAAAAAAAAAGAAGAAAGGTTTTTGTTAACAAATGACTTGATTTTGGGTGCTAAAAGTCAGAAAGAAGATGAAATGAAGTGAAGAAATAATTTAAGAACGCACACGTCCTATGAATAATATTTTGAAAATCTAAATTTAATTACTACTAATACTTTACATAATTATAGTTATTTTCCTATTACATTTTTTTCAATATATTGTATTTACTATATTTAAAGGGTGATATGCTAAAACTATCCTTCTATTTATAGTTTCTTAAAAAATGTGCAAAGTCAATAGTGGACAAGTATTGTTGGACAAGGGAAGTAAAATCTGGCATATTTTTCATGATCCTAAAGCCAGCCAGACCTAAATGATCTTAGATAGTTTAAGTTTCACAATTCTCATTAATTCATTATGTTCGTGTTCGTTAGCTGTTCTTTGTTCATGCTTTTGTCTGAAGTTTGAACACATTTTTGCAATGAAAGCAGAATTGGAGGGCAGTTTTCTGACTTTGACTATGAAAGTGAGTAACACATTTCTGGACAGAAAGGATGAATATTTCTAGACGTCGACAGGTCATTTTTACAATTTCTCAACAAGTGCCTTCAGGGAAGCCAAGATCAAAGGACTCAAAGGATCCTTTGTTTACCTTTTTTTTTTTTTTTAATTCATGAGAGATTTGTATGAAAAGTGATAGATTCGCGCTACCTTTTAAATTTTCCTGGTTTACATATTTGTACGGAAATGACTTATTACTCTCCCATATTAGTTTATCACTTTTCGTTATACACATATTAAGAAGTCATAAATAAGAAGATGATTTTACTAATTCATTCTTTAAAAAATTCTTAGGAATTTTACAAACAAATGTGAACACTTTCAAAATGAATAGTAATTGCAAGGGTAATATAGGAATAATTTAATTAATATTTACTTAATTTAGTAAGGTAGACAACTAATATAAAACAACTATTTTTAGTAAAGATAATTAGCTAATATTGGACGGAGGGAGTATGATTAATGAAATACATTTTGAATTGAAATACCCACCAACCTAAAATAGTTGCACAGATACTTTTATCTCAAACGTGAAACACAAAGTGTCCAAATACCAACACAAGCAACTCAGTCAAACAACAACCAACTTAGAAGTTCAAGTGATGTATCATGTAAGTCTTTGAGGTTCTTTTCACAAACACGCCATTTTTTATTTTATTTTTATTTTACGTACTCCTTCAATTTTATTTTACTTGCCTCATATTGACTTACAACATATTTTATTTTATTAAATTGATCTTATTTTTTTTTATTTGTTTACATTCTTAATTCATACGATTTGCATATATCCTACCTTCTCGAGACTTCTCTCGTGATTACATTGAGTATTTTATAGTTATTCAATTTACATATGACAACTAAGAAATAAGGTTTCTATGAAGTTTGACTTTAGGCCCCAAACTTATTGAGACGGCGCTGTTAGACAGCTCTGGATTAATGCTTGTTCTTGTTCCTTTAATTTGATGGAATGGGATATCGATCATGGAGGAGGAGGAGCATCCATGTGATCCCTCGCCATGAAGAACAAATTAGGTTCCGTTAATGGTTGATTGCGCAGAGCCTGATGCGAATTCTCCTCAATTGTGAGGAGTGACGAACGGGTGGATCGAATCAAGATATGGACGGGTCAAAATAAACAAAGACGGCCTTCCTATGTTTAATAACAATACTAAAGGGATTAACCGGCAGATAATATGGATATTTAGTAATAACTTTGGAAATAATCAAATGAGAACACAAAGCTAAAAGCCAAAATAAACTTCAACTCTAGTAAAACAAAAAATCCTGTAAAATACCAAGCAACAAATAAGTATTGATAATATGGATATCATTTTTTTATGTAACATTTTAACACGAAATATTATTTTTATGATTTCTTTATTTTTATATATATTCTTCAATTGCAACTTCTTATTTTAAATCGACATGAGTCAGTTAATTTTAGTTAAAAAATTAAAAATTAACAAAAAATAATAATTTCTTTTTAAGAGTATTATGTATTTTTGTGTGAAAAATAACCGACGAAATTGTGTTGGTTTGCTTTCTTTAAAATCACCGACAACCCAACAAAGTCAGTCGAGTTTTAATATTGTTTAGTAGTGTTATTAGCAATGAACAAGAGTCTTTTTTTATTAGTGTTATTAACAAAATCAG